CAGGGACCAAAGCTGGTCGATTGTAGAGGCAGTCTGGATCCTGGGGGCCACAGCTCCCACTCAGGAACTAATCCACAGGAAGTTAATGAGCGGCTGGATCCTGGGGGCCACGGCTCCCACTCAGGAACTAATCCACAGGAAGTTAATGAGCGGCCGGATCCTGGGGGCCACGGCTCCCACTCAGGAACTAATCCACAGGAAGTTAAGGAGCGGCCGGATCCTGGGGGCCACGGCTCCCACTCAGGAACTAATCCACAGGAAGTTAATGAGCGGCCGGATCCTGGGGGCCACGGCTCCCACTCAGGAACTAATCCACAGGAAGTTAAGGAGCGGCCGGATCCTGGGGGCCACAGCTCCCACTCAGGAACTAATCCACAGGAAGTTAAGGAGCGGCTGGATCCTGGGGGCCACGGCTCCCACTCAGGAACTAATCCACAGGAAGTTAATGAGCGGCTGGATCCTGGGGGCCACGGCTCCCACTCAGGAACTAATCCACAGGAAGTTAATGAGCGGCCGGATCCTGGGGGCCACGGCTCCCACTCAGGAACTAATCCACAGGAAGTTAATGAGCGGCCGGATCCTGGGGGCCACGGCTCCCACTCAGGAACTAATCCACAGGAAGTTAAGGAGCGGCCGGATCCTGGGGGCCACAGCTCCCACTCAGGAACTAATCCACAGGAAGTTAATGAGCGGCCGGATCCTGGGGGCCACGGCTCCCACTCAGGAACTAATCCACAGGAAGTTAAGGAGCGGCCGGATCCTGGGGGCCACGGCTCCCACTCAGGAACTAATCCACAGGAAGTTAAGGAGCGGCTGGATCCTGGGGGCCACGGCTCCCACTCAGGAACTAATCCACAGGAAGTTAAGGAGCGGCTGGATCCTCGCTGCGTCCATGTTACCCTTCTGGAGAAAGATTTATTTCCTCTGTTTGAGGAGCTGCAGGTTAAACAAGTCTTCTTGTAAAAACAACTCAAGGGACATTTTATGACAATATTCCATTTACTGTGGAAATGATTGGTTTTACTGACGTCAGAGTGGAACAGTTGGCCAATAAAAGCAGGTCATTGCAGGTAATGGGTGGCGCTTGGTGTCGCCTAAACCAGTGACAAATGAAGCAGAGTCATTAACATCTGGGCAGCTGTTACAAGGAGCACGCGGCACAGCTCAGGATCAAACAGCTTTGCTTAGCAACTGTTGCTACGGTGTAAATGTGTGTGTTCCGCGTGAAAAAGGTTCACAGAAAGGAGTCTCTCCACGCTGCGTGGGTGGCTTTCAGGGAAGTTCTGGTTTATTTACGTTTTTCCGCAGATGACGTAAGAGTGATCGCTTGTTCTCACTTCCGGATTTGCTTAAATGAGCCGAAGGGCAGATTATTTAATAACAAAATAAAGACCAAACGTTTTTGTTTTCTATTTTTTATTCTATCATCTTTTACTTGTGATTTTAAAATCATAATATTTGGTCATTTATCTATTTCGTTATATTTTTACACAGTTTGAAACCTTTAATTCGAAAGTATGAGGATTTTATTATGTTTTGTGCTTTTTGTCTCAGTTTGCACTTATTTATTTCAGAAACGTCCTTAATCCAAACTGAGAGGAGAAGCTCAGCAGATGATGGTTCAGACAGAAAACTGGACCCAATGCGAGGCATGGAGACTGATGGGGGAACCATCCTAATCTGAGATGATCTTTGGATGAAAACGCTGCTCTGTCTTCCACATTTCACCGTCGTCACACATGATCACGATCTGCACGACGCGCACGCGCCCTCTACGTCACGACTGTTCAGAAGAGGACAGGCGCGCGTGTCCAAAGTTCTATGGTGTCTAAAAATAGTTTATAACCGGTATCGGTGGGTTGTTGGACATGACTAGTGACGTCATAAGGGCTGTTTTGTGAGAGTAAATTGACCTTTTCTACCAGCCTACTTCGGTGTGTGTGTGTGTGTGTGTGGGGGGGGGGGGGTTATCAATGTTTATTTCGATTTTTCATCTACTATGGTTTTTTTTTAATTAGCCTGTGGAAAGGAAGACAGGAATAGGGACACAAGGCGGGGGTGGGGGGGTGGGGGTGGTTTGTCCAGGTAGGAAAATGTTCCAGTGCATGAAGCCCTGGTCATTGGATGTGAGGAGGTGGGGGATTAAGGGCTTGGTCTGAGGGTGTGGGGGGGCATGGATGACTCATCCTGTAGAATATCTGCTGGACTGTTTAGAGTAGACACAGCTTTAGACACACGCATGTTTCCACAAGAAAGAAAAGGGAAATATATTACAAATATAAAACAAAAAAAACAACCTTAAATACACATAGAGCCACATGGCACACCACCCAGAGCGCATGGCACACCACCCAGGGCGCATGGCACACCACCCAGAGCGCATGGCACACCACCCAGGGTGCATGGCACACCACCCAGGGCGCATGGCACACCACCCAGGGTGCATGGCACACCACCCAGAGCGCATGGCACACCACCCAGGGTGCATGGCACACCACCCAGGGCGCATGGCACACCACCCAGAGCGCATGGCACACCACCCAGGGCGCATGGCACACCACCCAGAGCGCATGGCACACCACCCAGGGTGCATGGCACACCACCCAGGGCGCATGGCACACCACCCAGAGCGCATGGCACACCACCCAGGGTGCATGGCACACCACCCAGGGCGCATGGCACACCACCCAGGGCGCATGGCACACCACCCAGAGCGCATGGCACACCACCCAGGGCGCATGGCACACCACCCAGGGTGCATGGCACACCACCCAGGGCGCATGGCACACCACCCAGAGCGCATGGCACACCACCCAGGGCGCATGGCACACCACCCAGGGCGCATGGCACACCACCCAGAGCGCATGGCACACCACCCAGGGTGCATGGCACACCACCCAGGGCGCATGGCACACCACCCAGGGTGCATGGCACACCACCCAGGGCGCATGTCACATCACACAGAGCGCATGGCACACCACACAGAGCGCAGTTTTGATAGGCAAGAAGGTTCTGGGTTCGATCCCTGGCCCGGGCATGGAGTGTGCATGATCTCCCTGTGCATGCGTGGGTTTTTTCCGGGTACTCTGGCTTCCTCCAACAGTCCTAAAACATGACTGTTAGGTTAGTTGGCTTCTCTAAATTCTCTTTAGGTGTGAATGTCTATCTCCAGCTGTAGACAGCTGGACACCAGCTCCACTGTCACCCCAGCTGGGATAAAGCACGGTGTATCAATGTACATAGTACACAACAACAAAATAAAAATGAAAATGCAACATTGAAAAAAAAACCTAAAGAATATATGAACACAGAGAAAAGAATGTGGCAAAAATAACAGCAAAATATTGAAGAAAGCTGTAAAATAAAAATGGAACAATGAAAACCTGAACTTATCACCTCAGCATCGTGACAGGTTAGTGGTGTTCAGTTCACGGCAGCAACATAACAGAATAATCTCAAAAATTGGCTGTTGAATTATTTGAAGCTGAGAATTATGTCACATCAGTGTTTTTAATTTTTTAAACAACAGCAAATAATGATACTTTTTGTGTTTTTTTGCATTTAAATGCTGATATTTCAATATTTAACATTATTACTCGTTTCATGATGTATTAATTGTTATAAAACTAGACACGTCAGATTATATGTGTGAGCTTCTCTGTTAAATTTCCCAGATTATGATTTAATCCTCCGTGGAATTTAGTAATATTAGTTTTATATATAACGGGACTTTTTAGAATAAATCAAACACATCATCAGGATTATCTTACCAACAGTCAACAATCCTGATCACTATGAAGGCATCACGACTCTCACGCTCAATTTAAGAAGCAGAGAAACTATTTCCTGTAATCACTGTAATTATTGAATAAAGAGCAGAATCAGTAACTCAGATAAATAAAACCATTCCAAGCAAAAGGTTACTGCTCTTTGTTGTTGCGCACACACCTATACCACACACACTCCGCAGTCATAACTGAGTGACGGCAGGTCGCTATGGAAACTGCGTTACGCTCCGGCCGGCCGAGGGAGAGAAAACAAGAGCGCGAGGAGTCGTTTCACTCCTCATTTCAGCACCACGCGACTCCTGGACAGCGCCCGGATGAACTGGCACGCAACGCAGATCCGAGCTTCGTGTGCCTGAAGAGGGACAGATCCGGTCCAGCACCGCGTCCCTAAGAGGTACAGATCCGGTCCAGCACCGCGTCCCTAAGAGGTACAGATCCGGTCCAGCACCGCGTCCCTAAGAGGGACAGATCCGGTCCAGCACCGCGTCCCTAAGAGGGACAGATCCGGTCCAGCCGCAGCGGAGGGACACGCCATTAGAAAACAGACACGCAACTTCTCGGTGGACTGCTGAGGTTTCTTCCACGCGGAGCCAGGAGCGAGTCGCTCCCAAAGAAAACACAGCAACAGGTAACCCCCCCACCCCACACACATACACACAGCGCTGGGAAGTTTAAATTAGTTTTTATCTGCCAACCTTTGCTGATTTCGCTTAATCGTTTCCAGGTGTAAACAGGTGCACGGAGAGATGATTAGAGGCTAAAAAGACTTACGCGCTGTTTCCCGTTTATATTTAATTATGTGTCCAATGACCCAAACCTGAACACCATGCAGACAGTTAGGAAACAAAAAACTGAAAAACAGTTTTCTTTAATTTTTCAAATGAGCATTTAACCCAGGTGTTTGTGTTGTTCACGTTTTCAAAAGTTAAAAGATATAAAAAGACATCGATTTGTTGATTTGTTGATTTATGGGCTTCTCTTTTGAAAAGTGAGCAGTTTGTAGTCCAACAGTATTAGTATCTGTTCCACATGAGGCTGAGTGCAGCAGCAGCCTGTTGTGTTTCCAGTGGCAGCAGATTATATGCGCGCTGAGCTGATACGCCTGGATGAGTCACAGCCTGGAAGTTTGCTGAAGAGTGCGAATATGGGAAGGGTTTGGGAGGGAGGAGAGATACTGGGGCAAGCTATAGTCCAGCCAGGCTAGTGCTGTGGTTTTATTGTGTATGTGGTCAGTGTCAGCACTGGGAGCCCTGTTTATTCTTCCTCCATCTAATCTGAATGCGCTTGTCTGGGATCAGATAACTTCTTGCTGGTTTTTATACTCAGTTCTGAAATGAACAGGTAGGGAAACCCTTTGATGTTTTATTCTAAAGCGATTATCTGATGTTTGCTGATGCATTAAACATGGGTTAGATTTGATCTAAAATTCATAGTAATGATCTGTGGTTGTTGCAGACTGTAGCTTTCTGTCAGTCAAAGTGATCCCAGAAAGCCTCCCATTACTGCTCATTAGTATCCTGGTCGTTAGCCTGCCTGTATTGACAAATCATAGCAATCAGCAGCACTCAGCTGTAGCACAGAGTGACAGCTATTGATCAAAGCACACAAAAGATCATAATGGGCTGGTATGAACCACGGTTACTCATTCAGATATGAGCTCTCACTCCACAGAAACACTTTGACAGGCACAGACAATTGTACGTTTAATCACATTACACATACCGCCTGGACAGACTCAGTTAGACTCAACCAAAGCTGGATCTAGTTTGTAGAGATTAAATGAGGAATTAGCAGCTATGGGATGTGCAGAAATAAAGCAAATCAGCTAAACCTAAAGCAACCAGCTGTGAGAAAAATTGTTCTCTAACTTTTAGAGGTGCTTCTGTGGATGTGAGTCGCGGTTTTTAATGTATACATATCATGTGCTGCACACACAAAAACAGATGTGTGTCTTTAATTAGTGACGTTGGTGTGATTAATGCGGCCTGTTGGTGATGACTCATTCCATTAACCCTTGCTCCCCTGATGGGAAACAAAACATTTAAAACACATCCACCGAAACAACAAACTACTTTGTTAAAACAACTCTTTCATTTTTAATAAATTTTAATTAGAGAAAAGAAAAAATCCTGAATGAATGTTTTTTTTAATAAACATTGTAATGTGTTTCTGGCTTCGAAAACCTCCCTTCAGTTTGTTGTTGTTGGGCAGTGGAGGGATATTTATTGGAGGCATCTTTCTATGGTTGGCTCCATGTGTCAGTTTAGCAGCACAGCAGTAACATTAGCATTGCAGAAAGCTGTCAGCCAAGCTGTGACTTGCAGACTGGCAGGGAACGTGCATGATAGCGTGTGTGTGACAGAATGGGTTAGACTTAAACATGCAGCAGAGTGGAATAATGTCTGAGTTCCAACCTCCCTCTCTTCCCCACAGGGCAAACAGTATGTCTGAAAAGAAATCCAGCCAGCGCTTTCATAGCCTGAACACTGAGCAGGTGGAGGTTCTGCATCAGGTGCTTTCAGAAGTGGTCCCCATCCACGGCCGTGGGAACTTTCCCACACTGGAGCTGCGTCCTCGTGATATTATCATAGCAGTGCGGGCCAGGCTGCAAAAGCAGGGAATCACGGTCAGGGATGTTCGTCTAAATGGCTCTACAGCCAGCCACGTCCTGGTTCGGGACAATGGGACGAGCTACAAAGACCTGGACATCATCTTCGGAGTGGAATTGCCAAGCCAGGAGGAGTTCCAGGTGTGTTTGCATTTAGCAGAGGCTCTTATCCAAAGCCACTTATAAACACAATGCTACTGTTATCATCAATATGACAACAATGAGAGATCATGAAAACAATAAAGAATTTGCTTCTTTTTACAATCCTTTCATAGTTTAATCATAAAAAATCTCCACAGTTTGTGGGATTTTAATCAATTTCCAGACCACAGGATACTGATGTCCCAGGTTGCAATCATTTCTATGTTCATTAAATCAAAAATAAAGAGGCACTTGTGATTTTAAAAAATAGCAACTTTAGGTTTTAGCTAAATCTGGTGACTGTCAGCAGTTGCATCTGTCACTGAAGAACAGTAGAGATAATTTCTATTCTATTCTATTTTTGTTGTCTTCTTGTTCCCCCAGGTGATCAAAGAGTCGGTCCTGGGCTGCTTGTTGGACTGCCTGCCCACCGGGGTCAACAGAGAACGAATCAGCAGCGCCACAATGAAGGAGGCATATGTTCAGAAAATGGTCAAAGTTTTCAACGAACACGACCGCTGGAGTCTAATCTCACTATCCAACAACAGTGGCAAAAACCTTGAGCTCAAATTCGTGAGCGCTCTAAGGCGGCAGTTTGAGTTCAGTGTGGACTCCTTCCAGATCATTCTGGATCGCCTCCTAGAGTCCTACATGCAGCAGGACTCCATGCAAAACTCCAATGCTGAAAACCTAAAGGAGCATTCTGCAGAATCTGAGAATAATTTGCCTGAGCCCAATCAGACCCCGGCTCCAGATGCAGAGAAGCACGCTGTCCACTTATACAATCAAGCAGGGGGGCAGACATTTAGGACACCGGAGAAGGATGAAAACCACTTTCAGGCAGAATTAAGGCAACAAGCTGAACTTTTGGAAGAAACTCAAAGCAACAAAGGGAAAACATCTGGAGAGCTGGATTTGTCTAAACACAGAGAAAACCTTAACAATGAAAACCAACCGTCTCTGAAGAGTGAAGATACAGAATCTGAGACATTGGCTCAAACAGAAGCTAAATGCAACTCTGTGCTCCTTGATAAGGTTCCGCAATCACTAGTGGTAGATGAGTTGGAGGAAGTGAAGTTTGGTGACAGCCACCAACCAGCAGGTTCAGATTTCAGAGAGCTCTGTGTTCAGAAGGAACCTGCTAAGTGCATGAAGCTGCCTGACGAAGGGCAGATGGACCCTTCTGATACGCTGAATGCTTCTAAAATAACTTCAACAGAGTGTCTAAACCTTGCAGAGGAGCCTGAAAATACAGAGCCATCTGATAAAACAGACTCATCTAAGCATTTGATAGAGGATCAGAGAAGCAATGAGGCAGATAATACTCAACACGTGTCTGCCTCAGACGCATGCACATCTTCATGTGCGAAGATCGAGCTGTGCTTTGAAGGAACAGAGAACGGGGATCAGATTGAAGCAGAGACGGACAGTAATAGAAAAATGGATGAAAGTGCTCAAGATTTTTCAGCATCAGAGGAGAAAGATTTAGAAGACACACTGAGTATCGATTGTTCTGGCTCCACTCTTCCACTTGGCAGCACCCAGCCCACTGCCACACAGGATACAGCAGACATTCCCAGCACACAATCCACAGGTAACTCAGAGAAAACATCTAGCCCTTCAGATACTCAGGATCTTTTACCTCCACCATCTGGCCTTGCCTCTGACAGAAAGACCTCCTCTCCTCCCACTGCTAAGGTCTCAGAGAGACTGTCTCACATGGTGGTGCTCAAACACTCATCCCCCAAACCCCCTCGGCGGATGTGTAGAAAGGTTATATCTAATGCATACCCGATCCGAATGTCTGAAAGTGAGCTTGCTGCTGCAGCTTGTATAGATTTCAACCATTTCCCTGCCAGTGAATCCAATAAAGGGTTTGATGTGAAGCTGGAGATTTCTGCAACCATTCCATCAACAAGCACTTCTTTCCAAACAAACTCTGGACCTGAGCTTGATCTTTCAAGTTGCCCATCTTCAAACCCTGACCTTACTTCAGCTCTGGATCCAGAGCTTTTTGAACCCAAACAATCCAAACCTCTTGGTGCAGTGGATTTAGTGGGCTCTGTGACCTCTGACCCTGACAAAACAGGCTCCGTGACCTCTGACCCTGACAAAACAGCTGAAGAGTCTCCAGCTGAGAGTGGAGAACCTGCCAGGGAGATGAGCTCGAATCTGCCGAACATCACTTCACAAGAAACTATTCTAAATGTACCTCTGTCTTCCCCCCCCATACTCAGCTTGTCTCCTCCTCACTTCACACCCTCCCCCCCAAGCCCAAGTCCACCCCCATGTTTTACTCCCCCATCTCCAATGTTAAGCACCATGAGTCCTATGAGCTTCAGCTCTCCACCTCAAAGTTTCAGCCCAACCTCTTCTTGCCTCAGTTCGCCTCCATACCTCACTCCCCCTATGCTCAGCCTCAGCCCTCCCCCACTGTGTCCAAGCCCCCCGTCCCCCTGCCTCAGCCCTCCGCTGCTGTGCTTCACCCCACCAGCGGAGTCCGGGGACCTTTTACCTCAGAGATCTTCAGATACAAAGTGTTTGCTATTAAACACAAACAAGAATGAGGACGATGAACCTTCTAGTCCTCAGTCAGGAGTTTCTCCTTCACGGTTGGAGGAGAAAGAGGAACATTGTTATATATCCTCTTTGCCTCAAGTTGTTGAGCCGGTCTCTTTTCCAATCACAATTCCAAGTTCCACCTCACCAGTTGATCCTCACCCTCAGCCCGAGGATTCAGCGGTACAAACCCCTCCACAAGCCTCTGAGGCAGCCATCACTGTGCCTGAAAATAAAGACACTCCTAAGGTGGCCCCAGACAATGCCCCTCCAGCATCAAGCTGTGTGCCTGCAGTCGAGGTCTTGGCAGAGAGCATGTATGGGGACTTTGAGGCAGCAATGGACCACCTGCGCTACCGGCTGATTGCCACCAGAAAGCCTGAAGAGATCAGAGGTGGTGGCTTGTTGAAGTACAGCAACCTGCTGGTCAGAGACTACCGACCGGCCAGCGAGACTCAGATAAAAACCCTGGAGCGCTACATGTGCTCGCGCTTTTTCATCGATTTCCCTGATGTGCAGGAGCAGCAAAGGAAAATCCTGTCCTACTTGAAGAACCACTTCATCGGCGAAGAGAGGAGTAAGTACCAGTACCTGATGACCCTTCGTCGGGTCATAGATGACAGCACGGTTTGCCTGATGGGGCACGAACGGCGCCAGACTCTCAACATGATCACAGTTCTGGCTCTGAAGGTTCTGGGTGAACAGAACATCATACCAAACACAGACCATGTGACCTGTTTCTACCAGCCAGCACCGTACCTTGCTGAGCACACATCCCCTTACCTGGCAGAACCAAGCTACTGCAGCTACTACATACCACAAGGAGGGTCAGCTCTGCTCTACCAACCTTACCCTTTACACCTCCACCCACAGACTGGACTAGTCTGAGACACAGAGTGAGAGAGTGGTTACCAAGAGCTGGAGAATAGATGAGCAGTTTGGTCTATAATAGACCAGTGTGGGTGGAACTGAGAGGGTTTTACAGGAAACTTCTCCAGAACTCTTGAAGGTTCTAACATGATTACATGGAATTATATCTGGGCTTTGAGGGAAAATAATAATTCTTCTGATTTTGTTCAAATTCCAGAAAATGCTGTATGCACTGCATGAGTCATAGGTCTCTGGTCTCCCTGGGAAACCAACTGTGCTGTTGACATGCACGCACACACACACACACACACACACAAAGACACACCCCTACTCTTTCTGCTATATACAGTGAGGACCATATGTTGACTCCCATTGACTTCCTATGATTTTCAGTCATTTTTAACCCTTTATATGCACTAACTTTAAATCTATCCTTAACCCATTACCAATTGTCACCTGAGCCGTAAACCTAACCATTATCAATGCATGCCTCACCCTAACCATATCCCTAGCCCTATACCTAGTGTTGGGAATTGATACGATTTTCAGGATTCCGATTCCCTTATCGATTCTGTGAAACAATTTGATTCCTTAACAATTCACTTATCGATTCTGTGAAACAACTAACTTGGTAAGTCCACGGTGACATTCATCTACCTTAGCCTGGGAAATTTCTGCCTGTCTCTGCAAAAACAGAAGGCAGTGAATGGGAGCTGCAGCCTCTGATCCAGCCAGGCTACCCGTCTAGTCACAGTCATCTAAATCTAATGGAGAAGGCATCCGTTTAATGAAAAAGCATTACTGCACAATTCCTGGAAATTCATCTCGCCCTGATTTAAATAACCGAGCATCACCTTTTGCTCGCTCCCTGTACTGCAGAGCAACTTGGTAGCATGTTTAATAACCCAAAGAGAGGTAGGAAAAGTTTTATTTTCCAGAAATGACATCTGATTTACTAGGAATCACATTAAGCACAGCCAGTGATATAAAACTAGTTACGTCCCACCAGAGTTGCCTTCTTTGCTGGTCATAACTTTAGCTTCTGTCCGGAAGGATCAAAAACACGGCATTCATTAAAATGTATGCCATGTTGTGTGCGCAGGTGTTTCTGCATTTTGGATATATTTCCTCCAGTCGATGTTATTGCCACTTTACATCCAAACTTTCGATCGGTTTACCAAATGGGACGCCCTTTTTTTTGTTTTGCTTTTCTGCACTTACACCTGGTCACGTCATACTTGTTTAATGAATGCTGTGTGCATAAGCTGATGAAGATTCTCAGTCATCCAGGTCATAGTCATTCCCTAAAAGTTCAAAAAATCCACTGGACTTGGTTTCCAAAGTGTGCATAAGACGTAACTTGCGTAGAAAAGGCTAGGCTCTGATGCTGCCTGGAACTGTTAAGAGAATCGTTAAGCAAGCTGCCAAACGGTGCCATGGAATTGGAACACACAGAACACAGTTTTCAATTCCTACCCATACCTATACCTCACCCTAATCATATTCCTAATCCTAACTCTATACCTCACCCTAAGCATAACCAATTGACACATTAGCCCTAAACCTATCCATTAGCAAAATAGCTTGTAAGGACCAGCAAAATGTCCTTACTTTTCAACAACTGGTCCTCACTCTGAGGGCTAGACAGGTACACACACACACACACACACTTCCAGGTTGTTAAGTTGTTGTTCCTGTTCTTACCGTGTTGTTCTTGTTCAGAACGTGGACCTTGCCTGTGGTTGATATCGTGCATGGATACATTAGGACTGTTTCTCACTGCCAAATACTGTGTGACTACTATGCTTCTCAGACAGTTTGATCTAACTTTGTCTGTCCTTTACAGAAGGGATGTCTCATTAAAAAATAGATCTAGTGAGGTATGAGCCTACAAGTGTGTTTTCACCAGAGCAAAGCCAGGATGAAGCACTGGACAGATTGTTGAGCAATGCATGAGTAGCTTAATAGATCACAATCAAATACTTTTCATTTATTAGAAATTGATCTATTTTTGCAAGACTTTCCAAGATTAAAAATACTGGTTAGTTCCCCCAAAAAGAATTACCAACAATAATGCCTTTGGTGTAGACTGTACAGCATATCGGTTACAGTATTTCTCGTGCAAATGCAACGTATTGTTTTCAGGTAATCTGTGTTATAATGTAGAGATCGTTTCCTTTACCCTTGTGGAGTTTCCTTTTCTGTAATATGTGAGTTATCGTACCATCTTGTGTTGATTTTAATATTGTTAATGTTTACTCAATGGAGGTTGCCAGGTTCTAACCATCTTTGGATCATCTCAAAGCAAGGCAGTGGAGGAAGAAGCTACGCTCACGCGGGGTGAGTGCTGTTCCATAGCAGCATATGTGACACTGACTGAGTTTAGAAACCTGCACGGCAGCAGCTATGACCAAAGATGGTTTGGTTTGGAAATCAAGTGCCTAAATGTGAGACATGGCTGCATGTCTTTATCTTACTGCACTGTGGGAGTTAAAGGGGTCGTTCCAGGACTGGGCTGGCTCTATGTTCAGTTGTTTCACCCCTGTTACTGCTGCCCTTTTTGATGTCTTCTTTAATGTATTCCTTTGTTGTATTTTATTTGTGTACATTTTGATAAAATAAAGAAAAAAAGCAGTAAACCTTAAAGTGTGAGAGACTTTTTCCGTAAAGACAAGAAAGGAGTTGTTTTGTCTTTTTGCATGACTTGCACTCAAACCCATCTTGCAGCTCCATTCCCTGAAATGACACGCTGCAAAACTTACGCATATTCCCCATGATTACGCTCTGCAATGATCCACTTAGGCATGACCGTCAAATCACTCTGGTGCCCAGGAGAGCAGCCCAAAGCTGTGAAACTCTGTGTTTGAGGCCTCTTATCGCAAATTACCTGTCCTTCAGATGTGTTGGGAGCCAGATGACGCACAGGCTACGCAACACAGCAGGCTGAACAATTTGTAAATGTGGGGGGAATGTGGATTGTGAGGTATTATGCAGAAGGGAGACAGAGGAGGCTGATGCTTCAGATGCAGCTCTACATGCAGAGGCAGCATCAGGTGGCTTCAGACTGCTCCTATCATCCAGAAGAGTCTGAGTATAATCAGGTAATAATGCTACCCTCTGTTTCTGCTATCAGACTTATATGTTCCTGCTGTTTGACACCAATCAGAAAGCTTCTCCAGGATTTGGGGTATTGCATAGTCTCCCTTTTACATAATCATATATAATCTGAAAATTTCAGGCTTTATAAATCTGTAAAAATCCAACATTTCATCCTAAATTTGTTGAACAATAAGGAAAGCAGGGCTGCCCAGCGGAACAGTGGGTTTGATTCCGGCTCTTTCTGCATGTTCTCCCTGAGCATGCATGGATTCTCTCCAGGTACTCCAGCTTCCTCCCACAGTCCAAAAACATGACTGTTAGGTCAATTGGCTTCTTTAAATTCTCCTTAGGTGTGAGTGTGAATGGTTGTTTGTCCTGTTTGTCTCTGATGGACCGGAGACCTGTCCAGGGTGGACCCCGCCTCTCACCCGTAGACAGCTGAAGATAGGCATCAGCACTCCTCGCCACCCCAGCAGGGATAAAGCATGACGGATGGATGTATAAGGGATGCTAATGTTTAAAAGATTTAACTAAATCATTGATACCCTTCTTCCAATTCTGTGTTATGTAGGTGAGATAAATTTAATAAAGTTAAAGTTATGTTGATTTGACTAGAAAATGAATATCTTCTGTTGAAAGACCCAGGTCTACCAACTTTAAAGAAATTAGTTTCATTTTGTCCTCTAGATGTTTGATTTAAATATCCTAGAATGTCAGGATTTCATGTGAGATGCCAATGGAAGCCCACAGCACCACACATAAATCACCGTACTAAACAGTACTTAACATGCGCTACTTTCACACAAATTAATCTTTTTTTCTTTTTGCAGTTTAACTAACTCTCTGTGGGCCTTTCTCCAACCATTTCTAGATGTTTGAGCCTTCCGTTAAATTGCTCTCCATATAGATGAAATCAGGTAGGCTGGTTTCCTCACTTATAAAAAAACAAAACAGCTACCTGCTTCACTTCAGCAGAACTCATCTGTTTGTTTGAAGAATAGCTAAGAACAAATGGAGCTCGGAAGCAAATTTGGATTACAATAGAATTCAAATTAATGAAAAGAAATAGCAAATTAATAATCAAATACTTTAATTAAATTGACTCTAATAGGTTTCTTAGAGACGCCAACAATCACTGCTTACTAAATAAAGGCTAGTTGAATGAAAGGTTGGATATTTCTACATTTATCAATCTTTTATTGTGCATATAAAACTATAAAACTAATAGATTTCAAGGCCTTTAATGAAGCTTCACCAATGTTCCAAACGATTTAGTGTTTTAGTCTATTTTCTGCTTGCACTAATTTCTGCAGAGAAAGAGAGTCTGTTATCCAGCGGCGTCTGCATCGTTGTCTCAGAGACCTCTGAGGCACTCCTGTCCACTAGAGGTTTCCATAGAGACGCAGACAGGCAGCACTGTGGGCGCAGAGAGCGTGACAGAAGACAGGGAAGACCCACACATTTAATAAGGAGGAGTAAGGTAAAAACAAGCAGCTGGGGGGGGGGGGCATGAAGATGGATGAGTGGATGAGAAATGTAGAGGGAGGTGGGAAGAGCACAGCAGGGGCGGGGTGACAGATAAAGCCCGGGGGAGAGCGTGGGAGGCTGTCAGGTCTTCAGTCACAGGGGAGTCACTAAGAGGTGGCTGCAGTGACGGCAGCCGTGATGTCAAAGCAGGAAAACACACAGTTCCATTTCTCTAATGGCCTCGCCATCCGTCCACCCATCCACGCTCAGCAAACATTTTCAAACTCAGACGGACACAAATGTCCCTGTAGCTCCCTTCCTCGCTCCCACAGCCCCGTACAGAGCAGAGGTGCCTGCCACACTTCCAGAGGTGGCCTCTGTATGCGGCTCCCCTTCAGTGTCACATCACGTCCTAATTGGCCAAGAGATTAAACATGTTACTGTGTTTGAAGTGTGAGCGTAGATAATTATATCTGCAGGCAAATTCATCTTCTCTGCTCCCATGATTCTATTCCTGAAAATGAATTTCTTGGTAACCTTCAGGTGCTCAGCAGCTCTATGTCTGAATAGTAAGACTGTTTTATTTTTCATAAATTGCTTCCTGTCTTGTAAGAGTGAATACTATTTAAGATCAATCTAGCTGATTTTCTCTTCACTGCAGGGTATTAAATGAGGCGCATGGTTTCCACCATTCATAAGTTTGCTTTTATTCACTAGAAGACTTGCCCCCCCCTCCCCACATCCTCCACCCTACTCCTCACACATACCCACAGTGTTCTTCCCACCCACCTGCTTCTTTGCCTGCTATGACTCAGTCCTCTTCCAGCTGAGGATACATGAGGATAAAACCCTTGATGAAAAACAGCCAAGAATATCTTTTTTTTTTCTACTCCCAGAAATGGAAAGATTGGCACGGCAGCGGCTGCTGATGCTCAGTTTCCCTTCATTAGACAAACATGTCACCCCAACGCATTGAAATGGGGGGGGGGGGGGGGGGGGT